TTTGTTTTGGAGATTTGGGGGGAGTTGCTTTTTTTAAGGGGGGGCAGATTCTGGGGATCAAATCCAGGGTCTTTTACAGGTTAAATGCTCAATTCACCACTAAGCTACAGCCCTGCCCTGGATTTTATTCTTGCTGAAGGCCAATCCATCTGACCTCCATTGCCATTTGAGTTCAAAGACAGAGGCAAACATTTCTGCCCAGAGCTGCCCATCCTAAGAGCTAACAGAATTAAGTTACTGTCTGGACATGGCCAGGCCCTGGCCTGCCTTTCTGGAAAATCACCCTCTTATGTAGTCACAGGAAGGCACAGAGTTCTCTTTATGTAGGCTATCTCCCCAAAATAACTCAGAGCATATTTACACACACACACACACACACACACACACACACACAGAGAGAGAGAGAGAGAGAGCGAGAGAGAGAGAGAGAGAGCGAGAGAGAGAGAGAGAGAGCGAGAGAGAGAGAGAGAGAGAGAGAGAGAGAGAGAGAGAGAGCACCATAATTTAGCTCAAATCAGGGTTTATTCTACACCTATTAGGTCTGATCATGCAAAAGCGGGCCTTAGGGAGGGGCACAGACACTTGTTAAGGTGTTCAGGACCTGCTTACCTCCAACTCCAACTCCAACCTCAGAGAGGCGAAGACTTCCGTCTGCTCCCATCCAGCCTCTCTCCAGCATCCTCATCTTTCAGCTGGCCTTCCCCATGCCTGCTGACCACACTTCTCTGATAATTTATGCCTTGGGTGACACAGTAAGGGCAGATCAAATGCAAAGCCAGCCACAGCCAGGGAAGGGTGAGGAGGCCACAGAAACCAGAGCAACCAGGCTCTATTTAGCTTTGTAGGAGTTTCTGTTTCTAAGTGACATTTCAAAATAACTGTTGTAAAAGTAATCAGTGTTCCTTAGTGAAACTGGAGCAAAGAAAGAAAAACACAAATAAAGTCATTGCTCATTTTCCCACCCCATTCTCTGTCTCCTCTTCCATAGAAAGGAAGCTGGTTTCTGGCTAAGTTTGAATTGTACTGCAAGCTCGAGCCTAAGATTTTAAAATGCCTGATCCTATGTGTAAAGTTAAAAGGGCTAAAGCCTTCCTTTACCAGTGAAGCCCATCAAAACAAACAACAACAACAACAACAAAAAATTGGCCTGGATTCTTTCAGATCTTTTTCCTATTCAAATATTTGGCATATAGAGCCAGAAGCCCCATCCCAAGAACATCCTAAAACAGAAGAGGCATCATTCATGGACTCCTCAAGTCCTTTTATAAAAGCTGTCTCAGGTCAGGTAGTGGTGGCACACACCTGTAATCCTAGCACTTGGGAGGCAGAGGCAGGTGGATCTCTGAGTTTGAGGCCAGCCTGGTCTACAAAGTGAGTTCCAGGACAGTCAAGGCTACACAGAGAAACTCTGTTTCAAAAAGCCACCCCCCCCAAAAAAAAAGACAAAAAAAATCATCTCAGGGCTGGAGAGTTGGCTTGGCTGTTAAGAACACTTGTAGTGCTTGCAGAGGACCTAGGTTCAGTCCCTAGCACCCACATGGTAGTTCACAACTGTCAAAAACTCCAGGTCCAGGAGATCCAACACCATTTTCTGATCTCCACAGGCAACCAACATGCATGTGGTACATACAGGCAAAACACTCATAAAGTGATTATCTTAAAAAAAAAAAAGTTAAAAACTAGATCTCACAGTGGTACATACAGGCAAAACACTCATAAAGTGATTATCTTAAAAAAAAAAGTTAAAAACTATATCTCACGATGTTGCCATGCAGCCCAGGCTGGTCTTGAACTAGCAATCTTCTGTTTCAGCCGTTTTTGTTTCTATTTATTGAATTTATTTTATGTGTTTGGGTGTTTTCTATATAGTGAGACATCATTTTTAAACTTTTGTCTTAAAATATATATATATATATATATAATGTCTTGTCTACATGTATTCTGTACCACAGTGCATGCCTGGTGCCAACAGAGGATGTCAGATCCTCTGAGACTAGAGGTACAGTTGTCAGCTACCATGTGGGTGCTGGAAAACTGAACCTGAACCTGGATCCGTGGAGAAGCAGCTCGTGTTCTTAATGGCTGAACCATCTCTTCAACCCCCTGCCTCAGCTTCTTGAATTCTGGAATTACAGGCATGTACAGTCACACCCAGCTCCATACATAGTTGTTTTTGTTTTGTTTTGTTTTTTTAATGTGGACATCTATTCTGATTTTTTAAAATTACAGTTGTTTTGTGTGTGGATGTATGTGAAGGTGCATATATGCTACAGTATGTATGTTGAGGCCAGAGGATATCCTGCAGAAATTAGTAATCTTCCACCATGTGAATCCCAGGGATTGACTCAGGCTTATTTGTCAGGCTTGGCAAACGCCTTTACCTCCTCAGCCATCTGCCGACCACCCCCCCACCCAGTTCCTTTTGTGTGGTACATATTCCCTTCACCCTTAGGCATATAACTGAGAAGGGGCTGCTAGGCTCTATAGCAACATAAAAATATCTAAAGAGTACCTGAAAACATGCTCTATCTATTTGGAAAGTGGGGATCAAAAATGTAAACCCAGCTGGGAGTATTGGTACAGCTCCTTATGGCTGCAGGGACTGATCTTTCCGACCAGCAGGCCAGACTGGGGCAAAAGCCATATAAGCTGGCATTTGCCTCTCTGAGTTCATGTAGCAACATGGGGTCTTAATCAAGAAAGTCAAACTTGCCCTGCGCTGTGAGCATGCCTTTAGTCTCAGCACTCAGGAGGCAGAAGCCAGTCTGGTCCTCACAGTGAGAGTCAGAGCTATGTAGAGAGACCCCATCTCGGAAGGAAGGGAGGGAGGGAGGGAGGGAAGGGAAGGTGGGAGGGGAGGGAGGAAGGAAGAAAGGAAGGAAGTCAACTTTTTGCAGGAACTATTCATGCTGATAGCAGTGTTCATGTGTGAAGGGCTGACTTCCCCTGGGGGAACAGGATTTACTGCTCTCAAACACAGAAGAGCCCAGGCTTAGGGCAGAAGTGTCTGAATACACCCAGATCCTGGCTAGATCTCGCCTCTATAGCTTACTGTGTAAGCCTGGAAAAGTCACATTCGCAGTCTCAGTGGTCTATGTACAAAGTGGAGTACAATAAGAAGGTTGTGATGAGCATTATAAGGAGTATTAGTGCCAGTGTGTTAGGTCCCTTTCTGTTACCAGTGACACAATAACACAGGCTGTCCTAGTGAGGCTTTTGCTGCTGTGACTAAACACTATGACCAAAAGCAACCTGGGGAGGAAAGGGTTTATTTCATCTTGAAGGGAAGTCAGGGCAGGAACCTGTTGGCAGCAGCTGAAGCAGAAGCCATAGAGGAACACTGCTTACTGGCTTGCTTTGCCAGACGTACTCAGCCTGCTTTCTTACAGCACCAGAACCAGGGTCAGACACTGCCAATAGTGAACTGGGCCCATCCAAATCAATTATTAGTTAAGAAAATGATCCACAGGCCATTTGTTGGGGGTATGTTCTCAGCTGAGGTCTCTTTCCAGATGAAGTATGTTTGTGTTGAATTGACAAACCTGAACAGCACAGACTGGGAGATTTACAAAGAGAAGGTATATCAGGATGGCAGCCTAGCATGCAGAAACAGGAAGTTTACTGGGAGGTTGTGGCCAGTGTGTGTGGCTGGAGAGATGGCTTAGCAATTTAGAGCACTGGCTGTGCTTCCTTCCAGAGGAGCTGGGTTTCATCCCCAACATCCACAATGCCAGCTCACAGCTGTCTATAACTCCAGTTCCAGAGGATCAGATATTCTTAGACACACGCAGACAAAACACTTATACACATAAAATAAGTAATTTTTTTTTCTAGTCAGGGTTTCTCTGTGTAGCCCTGGCTGTCTGGAACTCCCTCTGTAGAGCAGGCTGGCTCTACAGAGAGATCCACCTCAAGAGATCCACCTCCTGTGCCTCTCCAGTGCTAGGAGTAAAGGTGTGTGCCACTACTGCCTGGCAAAATAAGTAATTTTTTAAAAGGTGTACTTTGACTCATGGTTCTGAAGGTACAAAGTGAAGAGGACATTCCTGGTGGTTTTTGCTGGTAGAACCCCAAGATGGTTCGGTCTCCAGGTCTTTAATCTTAAGGCCCAGGTCACATAAGCCTGTGGTAGAGTAGATGTTAGAGTGGTTCTCCTGCCCCCTTTCCTGGCTGGGTTCCTGTGCAAGACATACTCTTCATAGGCCTCAGTTCCATGGTCTGTACCACAGGGCTAGTGATGCCTGCTATCTTGCAGAGCTGACATGCAGCTGGAGGGACAAACAGCTCAAAAAGTATGCAGAAGGATATGACATCAAAGTGTACATGGCTGTCACCACTGGTTTTTAGTCTTCACATCTTCCCAGCACTACCTTTCTTCCATTTATTGCACCTGTTGGTTTTCAAAACAGGTGTCATTATGTAGCCCAGGCTGGCCTTGTGTTTGTCATCCTTCGGGGTCTCAGGGGTACACCACCATGCCCAAGTTCCCACAGATTAAACACCTATTATGCACCACGTCCTAGGCTCAGAGTTAGGAATACTTTAATTTTTTTTCCCAGAGAGTCCAGGAAAGCCTGATGAAGATAATTTAAAATTACACAAATACTTTCAATTGCCAGGAGCGTCTAAAAAAAATTAGCTCATCACAATTTGGATTCATCATGGAATTTTTCAACAAAATTTTTGTTTCTCTTCTTCCTTCATCGTCCTTCCCCCTTTGTGAAGTATCAAGTTTCTTCAAAGCAAAAGTCAGAAAACTCAAAGATTTTCTGACAAAAATATTTTAGGTTATGCTCGGCACACTCTGCCACCGAGACTGTACTGGGTCTGAAAGACAAGAGACATAGCGGAGTAACTGGCTTTAGACTCAGACTCCGGGGAAGTGTTCAACAGGCGGGGGAGCCAGGAGACTAGCCCAGCTCTAAGGAGGTGATGGCCACCCGGAGGCGGTCACGTGAGCCCGGGCGTGCGTCCTGTGCGTCAGTCCCGCCCCAGCTCGGGTCTTAGCTCAGGTTTCAACCCCACTGGCAGCTGCAGCCTAATCTCTAGCTCCAGCTCGCACGTTTCCACGCGTCCTACTGAGGCTCCCGGAGCCTGGCTCTCTGTTGTCTGCGCTCGTGCCGGGGATCATCCATTGCCCTCTGCACCCTGGAGCGCCGGGCTGCAAGCCTCAACAAACTACTCTGGATCCTTGTGACCGTGGGCAGTGGCTGCCGCGCCTGTCCCCCTGCGGGAGGTAGGTGACGTTGCGATGCGGCGCCTGCGCGCCCCGCTGCAGCGGAGCCCTGAAAGGTGATTGGGGCGCTTCTCTGGTTGCCAAGCTCCCCCGGGGCGCAGTGTTTGCGCCTGTAAAGTTAGAGATCAAAGACTATGGCAAGCGATGGGTGCCGTTCTGGCAGTGCATGCAGAGCCCCCGCCTGGGTCTCCGCTCTTTGTCCCGGCCAGTCTCCTGTCTCTTTGCAGCATCCAAGCCGCATTCCCCTCACCCGGTTCCCCACACTGGAGGTCTGTGCAGCCCTCAATTCCCGGAACCTCAAGGTCTGTGCAGTATACGCCCTTGCTGATTGAGGGAGTTGGGGTGTTGGCAGGCATTGGAGACATGTGCGCCAAGAGGCTGAGTGTTAATATGCTTTTGGTGGCGCGGGGGCGGGGACCTCCCCGGTTAGCCCTGGCCAAGATAAGCTAGTGTTAGCCTGGGAGGTTACAGGGAAATCTGCCCAGCTGCACCCTGAGTGTGACCGATCGCGTATGTTGCGAAGGAGTGTGATCTAACTTGGGGATGCTGTTCCTTGGGGGCATATTTCTGGTTCCTCTGTGATGGGGCACTCCCTGTCTTGGGGCCACAGAATTAAGAAAGTTGATTTTACGGAGGAGAAAACCAAAGTTCAGAGAGGTCTCAAGACCCCAGAGGCTAAGTAGGGAATGTAGTTTATGAAAGAGGAGAAAACCAAAGTTCAGAGAGGTCTCAAGACCCCAGAGGCTAAGTATGGAAAATAGATTATGTAGACAAGGGCTGTGTGTATAGGGGATTAAGAGTCAAGTTTTGGGAAGACTTCCCAGAGGAGGTGGTGTTTGAGCTGTGTGGAGAAAGGAGAGGGCTCAGGCCGTGTTCAAACCTCGACCTTAGACACTGCTCTTCTTTCTTTGCAGGGGCAAGAGTTCCTGAAAAAGGAAGGCAGGCAGGAGAGGGGCGGGGGCTGGGGGTGGGTGGAGAGCTTCCATTTCCCCTGGGGGTGTTTGTTCCAAATAATGGGGTCCCACTCAGTTTTTTGGAGGGTCTGAGTGCCTTAGCCATGCGTTTCCCGAATGGCGCTGCCACGCTGTTCCACATACAGGATATTTTCAAACCTCTCATCCTGCCCTGGTCAGACTCGAACCAAACGGTTTTGACGTCCACCGGGCTGTTAATTCCCACCTGGGAACTGCATGGAGGAACCTGGAGGTGCACAGCAGGATTTAGACTTGGGCTTCTTCTTTGCTCTGATTCCTATTGTGAAGGAGAAAAACTTGAGGGTGGGGCAGAGAAACCCAAGTAGTAATAGCAAGGCAGACTGATGAAAAGAGGAAGGCTTCAGGTGGAAGGAGATAAGGTGTCCCGTTGGGGCAGCTGCAGGAATCAGTTGAACCCAGGATGATCCCAGGTTATCACAGAGTCTGCAACTGGGATGACTGGGTTTGATCTTGAAGCTTGTTGGATGAGGGCCTGTGTGGGGGAGGGGAGCATGGCTGCCTCTTGTTGAGAGCACTGGTCCCTCAAGAGAAGGGGGAAAGAGCTGCTAGATCATGAGGGCTAGGTTACCCTCACTACATACCTGGTGGTTCATCCATGCCTGTGAGACCATCTCCAGGGAATCCAGTGTTCTCTTCTAGCTCTGGCTTCTACAGTCACTTTCAGGGACACAGGCACGCGAATTAGAGTATTTGACTAAACTCTTGCAGCCAGGGCCTATGGGTAAGGACTACAAGGAAGGGAATGAGACGCTAGCATAGCATGGCAGCAAAGCTCGGAGAAGCATTTCACGAGCTGAAGAGTCAGAGGAGTGTGGGGCTGTGGTTCTAACTTCAGGGCACATCATCTGCCAACTGCAGGGCTTGCTTGCCTCCAATTACTGACTACACTGGAGTTTCATTTAGTAGGTCTGGAGCGAGGTTCCCAGTTTGCATTTCTAAGAAGTTCCCAGGGGTGGTTGCTAGCTGCTGCTGGGTTTTCTGGTTGAGGAAATGAAGACTACATTAAAAGTCACTGAATTTGGCCAGCATCAGTTTCAAATCCAACTTCCCAGCCTCCTGGCTATATGATTATGGCTAAGTCTCTCTGTCCCTCAGCTTTCTCACCCATAGAATGGTGCCTGCCTCCTGGGGGTTGGAGGCAGTGCTGAAGGAGGGCCTGTATCTCTTGGTCAGGAGACAAGTTGGTGATAGATTGCATAAGGAGACTTGCTTGGGGCAGGTGCTTGATTTAATCAAGTGTGCTGGGCAATTGTGCAATTCCACTGTGCTAGAATTCTGTGTCAGAGGAGGGAGCCTGTGTCCTCCATGAAGCTCAGAGAAGGTACACAGCAGGTGCTCTATAATGACATGGAAGTGACATCAGTCTCCTCTTGCCAGGGTGTGGAAAATGAGCAGCTGAGTGGGCCTGGAATTGGTGCAAAGTTATTTAGGCTATATTTCTTTGGCCTAAATGCAATCACATGGTCTCAGCAAGGTGCAGGAGACACTGGGAGATAAGGTCACAGGCTGAGCCAATTGAGGCTGCTCTAGGCAGCACCCAGTTTGTCCATGATGTCTTGAGTGCTGGATTCACTTCTCAGTTTCTTTGGAATGAAAAAAAGAAAAAAGAAAAGGAAAAAAACACTTGGCCTGGGGATGTAGCCCAGTTGGTAGAGTTCTTGCCCAACAGGTACAAAACACTGGGTTCCCTTAGCCCTTGCAAAACCAAGTATGGTGGTACATGCCCATAATCCCAGAACTCAGGAGATAGAGGCAAGAAAGTCAGAAGTTCAAAGTCATTCTCCTTCATAGCGAACTGGAGACCAGCCTAGATACAAAAGACCCTGTCTCAAAAGAAAAAACCCATAATTGAAAGCTCAAGATAGGCTGCACTGTGTATGCTTTGGCCAGGGCTTTGAAGCAGGGTTCTGCTGTTAGGAATGGATCTTGTCATAAACAAAAGACTTTATAGAGCAGGCTGTGATGGCCTGTGCCTGGACCCCCTACCCTTATGGCACCTTTACTGTGCAGTACCTGGTTGGTGTGACTCAGTTTTCTTCTTTGGTCTCTGTATTTTTGAGTGGGGTGGGGACATAAAGCTTCGAGTGAGGGACTCAATGGTATCCGGAGCCTCAGCATGCACTGAGGAGTCATGAATGAACCGTGAACTATTAAAACTTTACGTCAGAGTGAAAGGACCAAGACGTCCACACTGGCTTCCTCCATCAGATTGCATGTCTCCTGTCTACCAGGTCCAGATCAAACCTTTCTCATGAGTTTGCCTTCTCCTTGCCCTCACACCCGCAGGTTCTACTGCTTGGAGTGCTTTACCCACAGGGGCCAAACCTGTCTGTTCCCTTCAGGAACACATTGGACTCTTACCTCCCCAAGAGGGCCTTCCCTGGGGTCATTTTCTTTTGTGCAGATTAGCTGACAGAAGAAGAGTAGCTACCCCACACAGACCAACACCCTCCCCCACCATACCTAGCATAGGATTAGTGCTGGAAAATACCAGCTGCTATTCCATCCTGACCACCCCCACTCTTCTCGACCCCCACCCCCCTGCATACTTCTTCCCAGGTCCCCTGCATGACAAGTTCCATTACACCCAGAGGCCCAACAATAACAACCCCTCTAAAGATGTCCATATCCTTGCCCTGGGAATCTGAGTGTGTGTGGCCTTATCCAGCAAAAGGGACTTCTTAGAGATGAGTCATGGGTCCTGAATTATCTTACTATACCACAGGGTCCTTATAAAGAGGAGGTAGAGGCCAGGCATGTTTGCACACACCTTTAGTCTTGGCACTCTAGAGGCAGAGGCAGGTGGATCCCAGAGTTTGAGGCCAGTCTGGTCTACAGAGTGAGTCCCAAGAAAGCCAGGACTTCACAGAGAAACCCTGTCTCAAAAACAACAAAAATAAATAAATAGGTAGATAAATAAATAAAGAGGTAAAAGGGTAGAGAAGAGACATGACCAAGGAAGCATGAACTCTGAATAGAAATATTTAGGGTTAGGTGTTAGCTCAGGGTTAGAGGGCTAGCCCTGGACTCCATCTTCAACACTGAGAAGGAAGGAGGGAGAAAGAAGGATGCAGAGGGGAAGGGGGAGGAGGGAGGAAGGATGGGAAAACAGGAAAGAAAGGAAGCAGGCACAGCTCCTTGAAGACTCCAGGCTATTGGCTCAGCAGCCAGTAGAACTCCTGTCCCCTAGTTGTGAGACCCGAGCTTGGGTCATTTGCATCAGCAGCTACCAGATGCTCATGTGACTGGAACAGGCTCCGGCCCAAGGCTGTTCCACTCCATCCTGGCTCATGGCAACATCTGGAGTCAGTTTTAGTTGTTCTGATTCAAATGCAGCTGGCAACTAATAGATAGAGACCATGGATGCTGCTAAATGTTTGATGTCCCACAGGATGTATTGTCCTTGTAAATAAGAACTGTACTAGCTCATTGTCAGTAGCACAGAGGCAGAGAAACCATGCTCAGTGGGGAAGAGTTTGCTGCATAAGCATGAGAACTGAGTTCAGATCCCAGCACCTACACTGGGATGTAGGCTGACAGGATGATTCCTGGGACTTGCTGGCTGCCAGCCTTGCTCCAGCCTCATTGAGAGACCTCATCACAAGGGAATAAGGTAGTGTATGATAGAACAGGGACACTCAGTGACCTCTGCCCTCCATGTATAAACAGACACACACCACACCCTCCTCTCTCCTCCCTCTCTCTTCCCCCTCCCTCTCCCTTCCCCCTCCCTCTCCCCTTCTCTCTTCTTCCCTCCATATATTATACAGGGACAGAAACATCAGCTTCCTGGCTAGCAGGAACAGCAATTTGCTTGTAAGGCCAAGGGCTAAGTCAACGTTTATTCTGCTGAAATGCAAGTGCTGCACCCTGGACCCTGCTCACACAAACCTGTCATTGTGCAAGAGTTCTTTGTTTTAAAATCAGCAAATGACATTTTAGAGTACAAAGCAGAAAAGACTGTCATTAAGGCTTCAATGAGCAACATGCACAAGGGGCCTTTGG